TTTTTTTTTTCACTTTGATGCTGTCATTCAAGTTTGTGCAAGTGTTTGATGAATTGCCGGAGGGGGTTAGAAGAGGTAGCGTTTTGCGTTTTCGATACGACGCTTGACCGATGTTGCGTCGGCAGGTGTGGTGGCATTGGCTAGAGGGGGGCGTTGAGAGTGTGGTGGCGGTCGCCTTTCAATACCAGGTTCGACAAAGGTCACCCTGAGCGCCGAGACGAGTTTGCGACGCTGGATGCGTTGGACCACCTGCATGCGCTCTTTGTCCAGCGAAGCCAATGCGTCGGCTCGCGCTCCAGTCATGGGTTGCAGTTCAATCGCCACCGACTGTGCAGCTCCAACCGCACCACTTGGTGTCGCAGCCTCCATGCCAGCCGCACCCTGTTGCGGCAGAACGTTGATCTGTGCCACAATGCCAAGGTCTGCAAGGAAGGCGTCGTCGGCGCGTTGGCGATCGTACTCGATGCCGCGCAGATAGATCTTGAGATCCGTCAGCAGCGCCGAAAACTCCTTGGTCGGTAGCGTGGGGTCTGCGCTTGCATTTTTGCGAGCCAAGCCCTTGTCCACCTGCCCCTGCAGCTGCGAGCAGCGCGAAGAGTTGAGCCACTCGACCAGTCCAAAGGGCGGCGGCGAGTACTCGTACTGCTTGAGCTTCCTGCGCGCATTCGCCGGTTGCGGAGCGGGATCGCTCAGGCCCGCCGAGGACGAGGGGGACGCATTGTACACGTCCACATGGTCGGCGGGCGAAAGCGGCGACGGCGTAGCAGCTGCACTCCCTCCCACACCAGCACCTTGGGCAGATGCCATGTACAGCGAGGGAGGCAGCTGCGCGGCACACGCGAGGTACAGGTCAAGCAGCTCGTGCACGCTCTCCTCGACATCTTCAACGTGCACGTGCAGCGAAGCATCGCACTGTGGTGCCATCTCCGACAGCGGTACCGGCACAGCTGCATCGGCATCAGTCGTGGGCGGCGTGGCAGAAGCCGAAGCGGCGCGAATGCTAGCCAGGAAAGCCTGCATGGGATCTGCATCATCGGCTTGCGGAGCATCCCCGGGATGTTCCTCGCTGTTCGTCGATGTGGGGCGAGAGGGAGGACGCGCAAGCAGCGCAGCCGCATAGAGCGCAGCAGCCGCAATCACGTTGGGCGGATACTGCATTGGCGCTGACGTCCTAAACATGTCGGCCGCCACCTTCCACGCGGTGCGGATGAACGATTTAGGCATGTTGCTCTTGCGCCCGAGCTTGATGACCATCTTGAGCGCCGTGTGCGCGCTCGAATGGAAATTGAAGCACAGACTCTCGAGTATGAGCTTCTCAAGGCTGAGCAGGCGCTTCCGCTCGCCTTCGAGCACGTTGGGATCGATGTCCGACTCGGCGACGCTGCCGATAGGCATAGCCAGCGGTCTGGAGACCGAAGTCTCGCTAGTAGCGGCGATAGCATGCTTGCGTTTCTGGCCAGCGAGGGTGGGGAAGGTGAGCTCGTCGGTGTTGAGCGCGTCCTTGGACGAAGACGGCACGGGCACGTCGGAGGAACCGCCTCGGACGTATTGCGGATATCGAAGTGCATAGCTGGCGAGCAGGATGTCGCGAGGCTTCTTGTGCGTGTCGTTGAGCTTTGCAGCGACAAAGAGAGAGGCGACGGCGGTCTCGTGCAGCACGAAATCCGAGGGCGGATAGAAGAGGTGGAATCGCTGGTAGATCTGCTGCGCCGTCGCCGTGGTTCGCTGTGGAAAGCCGAGACGCGATGCGACGGACTGGATGAAGCCGGTGGCGATGTCGCGGTTCGTCTGCCACGTCGACGCCGACATGCGCTGTCCACGCTGCCGCGCGTACAGCGTCTCGAGCTGGATCGCGGTGAAGTAGGGGAGGTGCGCGAAGGTGGGAATCAACGTTGGCTCTTCCACTGCTGCAGCTGTCTGGCCGAGCGCTGGGTCTTGCCAGACCACAGTTTTGACGCCGGAGTCTGGTACGTGATATGAAGGGGTTCGTTGTGATCCAAAGTTGAGGACAGGCCTTGACGAATTGGCCCAACCACCGCTGCGCTCTGCGGCGAGGGTACGCCCTTGCGACTGGGCGGGCATGGTGACCACTGTGGAGCGTCTAGCGGGCCTGCGACATGTCCTTTGCAGCACTCTGTGGCCTAGTCGAAGGCGTGCTTTTGGCCTGCAGATCGGTTGCGATGGATGGTGGAGGGCCCAAAAGATTCTTGTCTGTCGCTCTGCTGTTCGATGGTGTTGGTCTCGATCCGCCCAGCTGCGGCTTTCGGAAGTGAGATTCTGGTGCGAGGAAGAGGTGGAGCGAAGAGCCAACTTTGGTGTTGTTAGACCGACGTGGCTCCATGTTACACCGAACTGACCGGCCACCTGCGAGGTGCAGCAGCCGCAGCAGCCGCAGCGCCGACGCCGCATGAGAGTTGGCTGCAGCAGAGTTTCGAGGGGAGGACCCCCTGTGGCGAGCCGGCAGTGCGGCTACGACGTCACGCGAGGCCGATCCGCAAATCGTCGGCCAAAGCACCCCGACGGCAAATTCCCAGCCAAACTAACAGACGCGTCCCTTTTCTTGTGGATTTTGGGGCCGCTCTCTGTCGTCACATTTGGCATTCAGCCATGTGATTTTGTGACTTTAGACTTTGTGGGCCGCGTGCTGCTGCAGTGCTGCTGCTGCGCCTGTGCCTCCGCCCCTTGGTCGCCGAGGCTTGGCTTGCAGATGGTTGCCAGCGACATCCTCGTTCCTGTCACCGGTCTTTTCGTACACAGCATCGTTCCCTCTGACCACATCCACCACTACGGTCGAGGCATTCTCATACTCGTCGTAGATCTAATTCCGTTCTTGCACGCTCCGTCGACGCTTGGTCCGTCTCTGTTTGCAAAGGTCAGGCCCACCTTGCTGCTGGTCAGAAGGTGGTAGCTCGCTTTGGTCCCACCGGCGCCCCTGCCAGTACCGCAGCTTGTCCTCATTACGCCGACTTCTTTCGCATGCGAACCACGTCTACATAATAGAGACAATGGCACAGAACCCACGCCCCGGCCTCCGCTCGCAGGAGTCTCTGCCAGACAGCTTCGTGCAGAACGGCCCGGCTTCACCGCCATACCAGCATCAAAACCCGTTGGATGCCATGCCGCCCATCTATGCGAGCCAGTCGAACCTCGCCGAGCACGCCTCCCATCCCGATCAGCACATGATTCGCGACGCTGCACTCGCCGCTCTCGCCTCCGGCGACGCCAACACGTCGGGCTCGCAAGCGCCTTCGCCCGATCGCAAGCTTCCTCACCATGCCGCTCACGACACGGGTATCCTCGAATCCAGGACCGACTCCAACCCTTCTTCCCGTCCCGGCACTGCAGGCCCCCGTGTCGCTATCACTGATCCGCTCGCCGAATTCCGCGATCGCAACCTCTCCAAGCCCGCCGGTCTCGGTCCCAAGTCCGACTTTCCTCCACACGAGACCAACCGCACCCCCGGCGCATTCAACTACCAGCACAACGTCGCCTACCGTCCCCCCTTCGTTCGACAGGACAGTGAGCTCTCTAGCGAGAATGGCGACCGCGACTACGGCGAATTCGACTGGTCCGACGAGGACGATCTCGACGAAGCCGCTCGCTTCGAGAACGAGCAGGCAAAGCAGGTCCGCATGGGCCGCTTGAGCCTGTGGAAGATCCTTAACTTCCTCGCCACCACCTTCCTTGGCAACCTCATCATCTCTTGCTGCCTCCTCGTCCCCGTCATCGTCATCCAGTACGTCTACCGCAGGCGCGGACCCGACGAAGGCCACCGCGATTTCGTCGCAGACAACGTCCAAGCCTGGTTCATCTGGGCCGCCTTCAACCTGCACGTAGAATGGTGGATCCATCTGCTCGTCGAGCTCTTCCCCAAGGCCGTGCTTGGTGTCATCCAACTCATCTGGGGTCGTCCTAGCCAGCGCGTCCTTTCGCTCGCAGAGTACTTCAACGCCATCAAGGGCTACCTCAAGTTCCTCTGCTATGCCGCTCTCAGCTGGGGCTCCTGGGCCATCATCTTCAACTCGGTCTACGGTCTCTACAACCACACACACCCGCGCCAGAGCAGGGCCGCCTACCTCTACCGCATCTATCAGATCATCGAGTTCTTCTTCTTCTTCACGCTCACCATCTGCGCCGAAAAGGTCATCATCAAGCACATCGCCATGTCCTTCCACAAAAGCGCCTACGCGGATCGTATCGCCAAGGTGACCAAGTCCCTCAAGGTCTTTGACTGGCTGCGCGACCACAAGCCCAAGCTCAAGGGTCGCGAGACCGGGTCCGCTTTCGGCATCCCCATGCGTTCCGCACGAGGCTCTCCCAGCGTCAGTGGCGCCAACACCCCCATGACGCCAAACGACTTTGTTCTCGACGGCGACAACACCAACTCGCGCAACGCCTCCAGCTCCAGCAAGGGCACCTGGTTCAAGAAGCACAGCAAGAAGCGTCCCTCCGACATGGCCGCATATGCGGGTGAAAACGACCGCGCAATCGACCCTGCCACCGGCAAACCCGCCGAGGGTCAGGCACCGGCTCGTGGCAGTGGCAAGTCCAACATCTTTGCTCGCACTGCAGCCCGCAGCAGACGTCGCATCCGCGCAACAGCTGGACAGGCCAGCACGCTTGCTCGCGTTGCCATGAACGACCCATTCGGTCTGCTTCGCAACGAGGCGCTCGGCATCGGCACGGACGTCAACTCGCCTGCTGAAGCCAAGCGCCTTGCACGCTCCATCTTCGTCGCCTTCCGCGGATCGCACAAGCGCAGCTACCTCGTCCCCTCTGACTTTGACTCGGCCTACACCAACCCACAAGACGCTCGTGATGCATTCAGCGTCTTTGACCGCGACGGCAACGGCGACATCTCGCAGTCCGAGATCAAGAACACCGTCATGCAGGTGTACAAGGAGCGCCGCTTCTTGGGCAGGTCCATGCAGGACGTCAACCATGCCGTCGGTCAGCTCGACGGCATCTTCCTCGTCGTCGCGCTCGTCATCATCATGTTCGAGGCGCTCGCCATCTTCAACGTCGACATCGGCAAGACGCTCTCCACCTTCTACTCGCTTGCCATCGCATTTGCCTTTGTCTTCAAGGAGTCCGCCGCCAATGTCTTTGACTCGATCATCTTTATCTTCATCACACATCCCTTCGACACGGGTGACCGCATTCAGATCGGCGAAGCGGTGCTTGTCGTCAAGCGCATGTCGCTGCTCTCCTGCCTCTTTGTCGACTCGCTCAACCAGGACGTTTACATTAGCAACGTCATCCTCGCCGGCACCAGCATCATCAACATGCGACGCTCTGGCTACCAGTGGGAAGCCATCACGGCGCAGTTTGACTTCAACACGCCGCTCGACAAGCTCGATGCCGTCGAGGAGGACATGATCCACTGGCTCCAGACCGAGCCCGAGCGATTGTTCGTTCCGAGCACGGCGATTGTGCCGCAGAAGATCGAGTACATGCGCGCGATGGAGTGCACCATCGGTATGACGCACGCCGACACCTGGCAGGACTGGGGCCGTCGCTTCTACCGCAAGAACGCCTTCTTTGCCGCTTTCTCGTTCTACTGCAAGAAGCACGGCATCCGCTACGCCAACCCTGTGCAGCCCATCGTCTACTGGACCGAGGATGCCGCTGCTCTTCCCCCCAGCTACGACACCACGTCTAGCGCCCAGCGCCGTGGCTCGCAGGAGGGTGAGGACGAGAGTAATGGGTATGTGCTCGACGACTTTACCGCGTCTCCGTACGCCAGCCCGCAGATTCGCGCAGCAGGCGGCGCGGTTGCCTTGCCTCCCAAGAAGCCAAAGTCGTTTATGAACTTTACGCCGCCGCTCGATGAGCTGGAGGTGTCGGACAGCGCCAATGTGCGACTGCGCAGGGTCAAGCGCGGCGACAAGATGCTCACCACCCAGGGTGGCGATGGCTAGTTGCTCCTTTGCCTCCTCTGGCTCAGCTTCACCTAGGCTGTCTCGACGGCTTGTTCCCTTGCTTCCGTGTCCCTCGTCATTTGTTTCTCCTCATCGCATTTCCCTCGCATTAGACTCAACTTCCTAGCCGCATTCAATTCATTTGGGCCCTCGTCTCGACACAGAAACCGGCGTGTGCGTGTCGCTTCCTCAGCCTAAAGAATGTAGCACGGGTGCACAGGAGAGGGCTACGACGACTACGGTTGCCTGGACTCGTTTTACTTAACTCTACCATGAAGTGTGGGAGCTGTTTGTTAGCGTGTCGGTTGAGAGTGGTCTGCTTTGTCACGACGAGGCCGAGACGGCGGTTCGACGCTGGAAATCGTTGGCGAGGGCATGAGCCACAACTTTATGGATGTCGACCAGGCCGGCGTTTGCCGCCTCAAGAGCGTGATCTAGGGTATTTCCGTCTAGGCCTGCCGTAAGGACCGCATTTGAGCCTGGGTCCTTCTTCGCCGAGGACAGCTGTGTCGATCCTGCAGAGACATTGAGACACGTTACCGAAGCGAGAGCTGGCATGCCGCACAGCAGCACGCGTGTCGAGGTCTTCATCCCCGTCACCAGACCAATGTCCGCCGAGCTTGGGTCGAGCAGCACGCGTTGCTCGCCCGAGCTCTGTGCTGGAACGAGAGCGACGGTCCCAACTACGAGACCGCACATCTCGATACCCGCGGAAGCGAGGGCGGTCGACGCAGCCATACATGCCGCAGCAATACACGACTCCTCCAACCCGTCGGTTTGTAGCACCATAATGTGGATATCCAACGAGGCTTTGGGAAGCAAGTCCAATCGTAGAGAAGGTAGCAACGCCTGGTGAAGGAGTCCCGACAAATGCGCACTTTCCGTGGTCTACAGCATATCGCCATCAGCAACTTCATCAAGTCTTAATCGAGACGGAGATAGGGAGGGACTTACCTTGCCGGGTTGCCTTCGACGTCTCGAGGAGAACGGAGCGAACTTGACTTCAACATTGAGCTCCGCCTTGCCGCTGTACTGACGTCCCTTGACCTGCCTGGGCCCAAACACGGAGCATGCCAGCTTGAGGTCGCCGATCTCGACGTACGAGCTGCCAGATGCCGAGGGCACCAGGTTGGTCTGCAGAAAGATCGATCGCAGCTGCGTATAGGCTCGACCGTCGGGTCGCTGTGTCGAGGTTGTCAGCGTCGAGGTTGAGCTGGACGCGTTGGAAGTGGATGCATTGTTGTCGTAGACAGGAACGTAGCTTGGAGGGCCGTTGACTCTCCTTCGGTCGTATCGCGACATCTTGCACGATGGATGCTGGAGCTGTGAGGATGTGGTTGATGAGGGTTAACGGGTAAAGTCCGAGTGCGGAAGGCTCGAGGAGAGGAGCGCCAGCCTAAATTTCTTCGCACAAAGTTGAGAGTGGAGAAGCTCGATTTTTTTCCAAAGATGTCAGATTTCTCGATATCTACGAAGCTCAGCCGCGCGCTCGAGCCTCCACCTGCTGAGCCGGCGCGCAGAGCATAACCACTCGACATCGTGAGCAGCAACACCTGCCAATCACCCCACCATCCCTTCCATGTGCCACGCGGGCTTCACAAGCGCACCATGGAAGACATCGCAGCAACAACATCCGCCCAAGCGCAGGCATCTGATGCGTTTGATGCCGAACCACTCCCTGCATCCCTCACAAATGTCGAGCTCCGGCCTGACGACCCCTTCGACTGGGAGGCATACACGTAGGTACCTGCCAAATGCTCGCGTTTTGTACTCTGCGCTGACCATCTTTGTCCTACAATGACCTCAGCTCCAACTATCCTGTCTCTGCGCGATCTCAGCGCCTCGTGTTCATCGCGACGCACTGCCCCGCCCTTCGTAAAACATGCAGCAAGGCGGCCATGGACCTCTTCAAGCAGTCCACTCGCGACGTCTCTGCCTACCAGGCCATGGCAACCATTCACAACACCGAAGCGGCGACTGGCAACCTGATCCCGGCTTCTGAACGCATCCAGGTCGATTCGGATTGGATCCAGTCCTCCCGCCAGAAGAACAGTGCCGAGCGAGAGAAGCTCGAGCTCGAGATGCGCAACTACCAGAACAACCTCATCAAGGAGTCGATTCGCATGGCTCACCGCGACCTGGGCGACCACTTTGCACAGTCGGGCGAATGGTCCGAGGCGCTCAAGTCGTACACAAAGATCCGCGACTACTGCTCCACCACGGACCACGTGATCGAGATGTGTCTCAACGTCATCGAGGTCTCGCTGCGGCTGGAAAACTGGACCAACGTGCAGACGTTCGTGAGCAAGGCCGAGGGCGTGCTCGAATCTTACGTGCCGTCATCGGGAGCTGGCCAGCGCAAGCTCAGCTCGCTCAGTACCACGAGCATCGCTCCACCTACCAAAGGCGGCTCGACGCCTGGGGCCGATGCGATCGGCGCACTCTTCCGTGCCGGTGGCAGCTCGGCGGCATCCACACCACCGTCTAGGCCTCGCGGCAACACGGGTGGTGAGAGCGCGTCTCAAGTCGCTGCTAGCAAGCTCGTCGCTGAAACGGGTGCAAAGCTGCGTGCGGCCAACGCAGTAGCGTGCATCGGGCAGGGCCGCTACGAAGCCGCTGCCAAGTTGCTGCTGAGCATCGATCCTGCTCACTCAAGTTCGCTGCTCGACATCATCAGTCCGTCGGACGTGGCCATTTACACGGCACTCTGCAGCTTAGCCACGATGCAGCGGCCTGCGCTCCGAACACAGGTCATGGAGAGCACCAAGTTCCGCGGCTTCCTCGAGCACGAACCGTATGTGCGTGATCTGCTGGAAGCCTTCAGCACCGCACAGTTCCGCAAGGCCGGCGCCATCCTCGACGAGCACCAGGCGCGCCATTTGCTGGACCCCTACCTCGCTCCACATGTCGGGTTCCTGCGCACCGCACTCACGCGGCGTGCACTTCGGCAGTTCTTCACGCCCTTTGACCGCATCAGCATCGCAAGGATGGCCGAGGCTTTCGGCTGGACGCACAAACGCATGGCCGACGAGCTCGTCGTGTGCATCAAGCGTCGCGAGTTCCGCAACCTGCCTGGCAAGGCGGCAGAGGTGGGCGATGCTAGGATCGATTCGATCAATCAGGTGCTCGAGTACCGCACCAAGGATGCGAGGAGGGCGGTGTTTGACTCGGCGCTCGAGCTCGGCGACCAGCGATGCCGCGAGACCAAGAGGCTGCTGTTGCGTATGAAGCTCGTCGAGAATGGCGTCGTTGCCAAGGGCTCCTATTCTGCAGAAGCGTGGAGCCAGATCAGCAATCCTTTGTAGCATCAGCAATGCATCTGTCATTAATCCTTTCGGAGGCTGTCGTGGGGGTCTGGAGTGGCACGGATTTTTTTGTATCGGATAGTGTGAGATTGTGCCTCTAACAGAACATGATTTTGCAAATGCGCAGCGGGCAAAGGACGCGCGAGCCGTGTGATCGAGGCGGCGGCGGGGGCCAACAACTCCACTTTGAACGGGCACACGCGAAGCCCTCGCTCCAAGCTAGCCGTGACGACTCGAGCCAACACCCAACACCGCGGCCTCCATCATTGCGCTCACCGTCTCTGCACCAACCTCACACTTCGACTCCACGAGACTTTCCGTAATCAGCTCGCCCAGTTACTGATCCGGCAGTCTTCACCGTTACGGCCACACTCACGACACCATGTCGGACGCACAGCCCCCCAACTCTGGGAACGGCGACGACAACCCGCAGCCACCCGTATCGCAGGCTGGCCCGTCGTCCTCCACCGCTGCTGCCACGGACGGAGACACCAAGATGGCGCCCGCCGAGCCCGAAGAGGAGCCGCTGCCAGCCGAGATCCTCGAGGCATCCATCGACGAGATCCAAACTCGCACGCGGCTACTCGAGAATGATGTCAAGGTGATGCGTTCGGAACACATGCGCCTCATGCACGAGCAGTCGTCCAAGCGCGACATGATCAAGGACAACTCGGACAAGATCAAGCAGAACAAGACGCTCCCTTACCTCGTCGGCAACGTCGTCGAGATCCTCGACATTGACCCGGACATCGACGAGGACTCGGAGGAGGGTGCCAATGTCGACCTCGACGCGAGACGCAAGGGCAAGTGCGCCGTGATCAAGACTTCCACACGACAGACCATCTTCCTGCCACTCATCGGCCTGGTGCCCGCCGAGGAGCTGAGGCCCGGCGACCTGATCGGCGTCAACAAGGACAGCTACCTGGTGCTGGACAAGCTGCCAGCCGAGTACGACTCGCGTGTCAAGGCGATGGAGGTGGACGAGCGACCCACCGAGACGTACACGGACATTGGCGGTCTGGACAAGCAGATCGAGGAGTTGGTCGAGGCGATCGTGCTGCCCATGCAGCAGGAGCAAAAGTTCAAGAACCTCGGCATCCGCCCGCCCAAGGGTGCGCTCATGTACGGCCCGCCCGGTACGGGCAAGACGCTGCTGGCGCGTGCGTGTGCGGCGCAGACCAACGCATGCTACCTCAAGCTCGCCGGTCCTTCGCTCGTGCAGATGTTCATCGGTGATGGTGCCAAGCTGGTGCGCGATGCATTCGAGCTGGCCAAGGAGAAGGCGCCGGCGATCATCTTTATCGACGAGTTGGACGCGATAGGAACCAAGCGATTCGACTCGGACAAGAGTGGTGATCGCGAGGTGCAGCGTACGATGCTCGAGCTGCTCAACCAGCTCGACGGC